CGACGACGACGGCGGCGGCGGCGGCGGCGGCCGCGGCGGCGGACGAGGAGGATGAGGAGGATAAGAAGAGGGAGGGGAGGAGGATGAGGGGATGGAGGAGGAGGCAGCGGGGGAGGAGGATGGAGAGGAGCATGAAGGGAGGGAGCTGCAGGAGGAGGAGGAGGAGGAAGAGGAGGAGGCAGATGATCAAGGGAGGGAGGAGGAGGAGGAGGAGGAGGAGGAGGACGCGGACGAGGAGGAGGAAGAGGAGGAGGAAGAGGACGATGGCATCAGTGCTATGCACAAGAACTGCCACCATCCAGAAGTTCAGGAGGAGGAAGGAGGAGGAGAGGAGGAGAGGAGGAGGAGGAGGAGGAGGAGGAGGAGGAGGAGGAGGAGGAGGGAGGAGGAACCCCCAGAGTCTGGGGGCGGCCCAGACTCTGAACAGCACTTTTTTCAGATCTCGTGAAGAGATCGCTCCAAGAGGTCCGACATTGCCTCCGGACGGCCCCGGAGGCCCCTTGCACGCCCATGCACAGACCATCCCCTGAGATATAAGCATAGCTCCTCCTCCCCCCCCTCCTCCTCCCCTCCTCCTCCTCCTCCTCCTCCTCCCCCCCTCCTCCTCATCCTCCTCCTCTCCTCCTCCTCCTCCTCTCCTCCTCCTCCTCCTCCTCCTCCTCCTCCTCCCTCCTCCTCCTCCTCTCCTCCTCCTCCTCCTCCCTCCTCCTCCTCCTCCTCCTCCTCCTCCTCCTCCTCCTCTCCTCGCAACCCTGAAGCTGCGGACACGTTTGCGTCCATGCCCTCGTCCTCCTCCCGCTCCTCCCCTGAGCTCCAAGCGTTACAATGTTATTCACACCAGGCGGTTGCGCTTGGACTCGGGCCCCGAGGTCCGCCGACCCACTTGGGCCACGGCGTGTGAGATGCTTCACCCTCCACAAACGCCTCCCCCGGGAGCCGGGTCGGCCGGTTTGGGGGGGGGGGGGGGGGGGGGCAAAGGCGCCGGCCGCACACTTGCAGCCTTAAGGGGCCCCAAAACGAACCAAAAAGGTCCGAAAGGCTTCCGGCACGGACCAAGAGAGCTACGAGTCGACGAGGGATCGTTCCACAACGCCGAGGATTGCCTCCAGACGGCTCCAGAAGCCCCCAAAACGCCCCAAGAAGCCACCAAGACGCCTTCCAGAAACAACAATCGTCCCATTCCCTACGGACAATACATATATTTTAAACACACTCGCCTCTTGGCCTCTCACGAGGCCCACAACGGCCCCCATGAGCGACCCCAGATAACCCAAGAGGCCCCCAAGAAGGCTCCAAGACGGCCAGCGAGGGCCCCGCGAAGGCCCCAGAAACAACCGCAACGGCCCAGGAGAGCCGCAGGACGGCCTCAAGAGGGCCCCAAAATGGGCCAAGAGGGTCCCCATCCCCAAAGTCCTCCTGGACGGTCCACGAGGGCTGCGAGTCGGCGAGAGATCGCTCTAAGACGCTCCAGATTGCCTCCCGGCGGTCCTACAGGCCCCCAAGACGCCCCAAGAAATCATCCGGAGACGTCCCAAGAAGCTTTCCTGCAGAAGCAAAGAGCGTTTCATTTTCGATGGACAACATACACTTCCAGCATGTTCGCCTCTTCGGCTTTCACGAGGCCCGCAACAGCCCAAGAAGCCTTCCAGATCGACCCAATACGATCCAAAACGGCTCCCAAAAGGACTCCAAGACAGCCCAAATGGGCGCCAAGAGACCCCAAAGCCACCAAACCGACCCAGGACGGCCTCAAGACGGCCACAAAAAAGTCCTAAAATGGGTCCCGCAAGGCTGCCCCGACGGCTCCAGAGCGCGAGTTACGACTCGCGAGGAGATCACTCCCAGACGCCCGCCATTGCCTCCAGCTGACCCTTGGGGCCCCCTAGACGCCCCAACACGCTGCCAGGACGCGTCCCAAGAGGCCCGTCAGAACCTAACCTCGGCCCCTTTGCCGAAGGGAAACGTCTACGTTTAACACATTCGCTTCTGGATGTATCATGGGTCCCACAGCAGCCCAAAAAGCCTCCAAAATCAACCCACAAGCCCCCGCATGCACCCAAGAAGGCTCCCAGACGGCACAAACGGGCCCCAACAGGTCCCCCGAAGCCACCAGGGAGAGCCCCAGGACGGCCCCACAAGGAGGGTAAGAAGGGAAACCCGAATGAAGAATTCGAGCACTTCGCCCCGAGAAAACAAGAAAGGGCGCGTAAATTCACGCAGGCGGCCCTTCGACGACGAAGACCACGAAAAAAATGAAAAGACTAAGACGCTGCTACCAAATTCTTCTCTTTTTCCCGCGCAGAAATCGTTCACCATGGGCCCTCCAGACCCTTCCCGGAATCCAATCGCAACCGTTTCCCCAAATGTATCCAGCCGCGGCGACAGGGGAGGGGCCCCGAACCCCCCCAACCATGACAAACCTCCCGAGTTCGACGGGCTACTTCGCACAAATTCGTTCCCCGAACCTCTCCCCCGGAGCGCTGAAGCAATTTCTCGCCCCAGGTCCGTCCGGTTTTGAAAATCCTGGGGTCCACAACGGCCACCGGAGACCAAAACATATCAAAAACAAGAACTGTTCAAGCACAAATCTCTGGAAAGGCGGCCCGAACCGCCGCGGGAATCTACCTCGACCGAGAAGAAGAAGAAGAAGAAGAAGAAGAAGAAGAGGAGGAGGAGAAGGACGAGGAGGAGGAAGAGGAGGAAAAGGAAAAAAATAAGAAAGATTTCGTCGTCGCCGCCGATGTCTCACAGACTTCCGTGGTCTTCTTTCGACCACCCGAAACATCTCCTCACAGTCAGCCTCCAGGAACCGCTTTCGGTGCCCAGGGCCACCGCCGAGGGTCCAGGATGAGGATCCACCTCCCTGGCCGGTGCCACCTCTTCGCCAAGGACGGAACACGGGGTGGATCGAGGCTCGAGGCATGAGACTCAGTTCTTGGGCGCTCTCCGCCCTCTCTGGGCCTTCAGGAAGCTCTTCGTCGACACAGCTGGGTCCACTTTCGAGCTTCTAGCCAGACGCACCCCCAGCTGGGTCTCAACGATGCCCGAGCCTATCCACGGGGTGGACAAGGAGGCCTGGGACAGGCCCCGTTAGGGCCCCAAGAAGCCCACATAGGACCAAGACAATCCCCTACAAGGCGCCCCCTTGCACCCCCCACACGCTGCGTAAGACAGGCCGACAGCCCAAGACTGCCCAGCGATCGCGCGCGTTCTGCGAGCTCCGTCGTTCCCTCTTGCTGCCGCCCCCAGGGGTCGGCGGTGCGAGGTGAGCCAAGGACTCAAGGAGCACGGGAAGCGCAGGACCTTCTCCACAGAGCGGCACCAGAGCGCAACCCCCGCCAGCAGGAAGAGCACGGCGTACAGAGAGCCTGCGAGCCTCTACGCAGGGCAGCGCACGAGGTGTACACCAGTGGCCGCATCAGGAGGCTCACGAGGACCAGGACGAGAGCGTCCAGATGCGTGAAGGGGGCCCTCGACGATCGAGAAGACCATGGCCCTCTACATCAGAAGGCTCACGAACAGGGGGAGAGCCTTCAGGAAGCCCAAGTCCCGCTTCGGCAGGAAGCGTCCGACCGCGTCATCGGGAGGATCAGATTAGGCAAATTGAATTAGCTCACGACCGTAAGGAAGCTCCTCGGCGTAGCCAGGATGCTCATCCCGATCGAGAAAGTCAGAGCGATGATGAGGCTCAAAACGACCACGGTCGATATCACGATGCTCAGGTAGAACACAAATAGGCGGGTCAGCAGGGATGTGCTTAGCATGCGGCTGCAACTCCTGTCGCAACAAACAAAGACACCTCTCGCAACTCGGAAGCGTGATGTGCCTCGTAACGTTGAACGCACTGTCGAGGACGCAGATTTGATTGGACAATAGCCGTGATATCCTCCCCGCATGACGGGCAAGCTCCGCTGCCTGCTGAAGTCCCGAACAATGGACACCAAGCTCTGCACGCAAGAGACGCAGCACCTCCCCGTGAAGAGAGCAGACAAGATCGGCCATCAATGTGAGCGATAGGCAATTGCAAGTCGTGGGCGCACGCCCATGCAATAGCTTGAGCCAAAAATGGCTACGGAGGAAAGGAAAGTAGGACGGAGGAGGGAGGAGGGAGAAGGAGAAGGGGAGAGGAGGAGGAGGAGGAGCAGGGAGGAGGAGGAGGAGGAGGAGGAGGAGGAGGAGGCCGAGGAGGAGGAGGAGGGAGGAGGAGAGGAGGAGAAGGAGGAGGAGGAGAGAGGGAGGAGGAGGAGGAGGAGAAAGAGGAGGCATACGAGGAGGAGGAGGAGGAGGAGGAGGACGAGAGCACACGGCACGAATGGGGCGGTCTTCTTGGCAGACCGCAGGGGGGCGGCGGGGTGTGGGAGGGAAGGCAGGAGAAGGGCAGAGGGGAGACGGCCAGGGGGACAGGGGCGGGGGGAAGAGCAGGATTGGAAGCAGGCAGGAAGAGGAGGAGGAGAGGCAGAGAGCGTGAAGGGGGCAAGGTGGAAGAGGAGAAGAAGGAGAAGGGAAGAAGGCTTAATCATCCCTCCCGCAACATATTTCTCTTCCTGCCCCTCCTCCTCCTCCTCCTCCTCCTCCTCCCCCTCCTCCTCTCCTCCTGCTGCTCCTCCTCCTCTTCAACCTGATCCTCCTCCTCCTCCTCCTGATCCGTCTCATCCTCCTCCACAGCTACCGTACCTCATCATCCGTATCCCCCATCTTTCCTGCTAAGCCTCCTCCTCCTCCTCCTCCTCCTCCTCCTCCTCCTCCTCCAAACTATCCTCATAATTATCCTCCTCCTCCTCCTCCTCCTCCTCCTCCTCCTCCTCCCTCCTCCTTCCTATCCCTCATAATTATCCTCCTCCCTCCTCCCCTCCTCCTTCCTCCTCCCTCCCTCCTCCTCCTCCTCCTCTCCTCCTCCTCCTCCCCTGCCTCCCTCCCTCCCTCCCTCCCTCCCTCCCTGCTTCTCCCTTCTCCCTTCTCCTCATCATCACACCCCTCTCTCTGATCCTCCTCCTGCGAACCTCTGCGCAGCCCTGCGTGATCAGGACCATGGAGATGTCCCTCCGCGAGACCAGCTCGTGGAACTTCTCGTCGACGTCCTTCTGGTGGGTTTTGCTGTCCACCACGAGGAAATTCTTCTTGCCCTGGCCTCAGCTCACCGTCGCTTCCGCCTCCTCCCCCCGCCCATCCCCTCGTGGCGGATCCTGGCGTCCACCGGCCCGTCCTGCTGCTCCTCCTGCTGCTGCTCCTGGATGGGTCTTAAAGCGCTCCTCCTCGTCCTCCTGGGAGGGGGGCCTCGGCGCCTCCTCCTCCCCCTCCTCTTGCTCCTCCTCCTCCTCCGCCTCCTCCTCCTCCTGCTCCTCCTCCTCGTCCTCCTCCTCCTGGGGGGGGCCTCGGCGTCTCCTCCTCCTGCTCCTGCTCCTGCTCCTGCTCCTGCTCCTCCTCCTCCTCCTCCTCCTCTCCTCCTCCCTCCTCCTCCTCCTCCCTCCTCCTCCTCCTCCTCCTCCTCTCCTCCTCCTCCTCCTTTCCCTCCTCCTCCTCCTTTTCATCGCCTGCCCGCCGTGTCCCCGGTCGCGCCGCCGCCGCCCGCCGCCGTCCTCGTGGCGGAGATGTCCGTGGAGGAGGCATAGCGTGCGGAAGAATCCCCGTCAAACCGACGAATAAGACCGGCAACTACCTTGCTTGGCCCCCTGTTCTACCCCCAGCCTGCCCCTCCCAACAGGGGGCCAAGCAAGGTAGTTGCCGGTCTTATTCGTTGACGGGGATTATTCCGCACGCTACGCCTCCTCCACGGACATCTCCGCCACGAGGACGGCGGCGGGCGGCGGCGGCGCGACCGGGGACACGGCGGGCAGGCGATGAAAAGGAGGAGGAGGAGGGAAAGGAGGAGGAGGAGGAGGAGGAGGAGGAGGGCAGGAGAAGCGGGCGAAGGATAGAGAAAGTGTGGCTGCAGAGCAGGCAGGGTGGAGGAAGCGGGGGGTACGAAGCCCTTTTTGGCCCTGAAAGCGCCTGGGTGCACGAGGAGTTCAATAGAAACACCCGTGGAAGGACCTCCGGAACAGCTGGCCCCTTCCGAATCCGAACCGCTCCTTGCTTCAGCGTCTTGACTGCAGGTGGAGTGAGCGGAGGGTGCTACCGCCTCGGCTCCCCCTGCGGTGGGGCTCCAGCGAGCGCGTGGCAACGATGCGCGCGCAAACATGCGCAGACATGCGCAGACATGCGCAGACATGCGCTGGGCAAGATCGGATCGGGTGCTGCCGGGCATCGCATCGCCGGCTCGGAGCGATCGGCCGGCCGCCTTCACCGAGACCCCGCCACTCCACACAGAGCTGGCGCCAACGTCGCGGCCCCCCTACGAGCCCCCGGGGGGCCTCCAAGAGGACTCCAAGAGGCTCCTCGGAGGCCTCCTCCTCTATCCCTTTTCCTCATCAATAACTCCTCCCTATCGCACCCCGAAACGTGTCGGTAGGGCTGGTCCGGTGTTTCGCATGAGACTCCCTCGCCACTCTACGATCCTTGAAATCCCACCAGCGCTTTAGAGCGTAGGTGGTCTAGAGAGCCTTCGCTTCCAACCCCCTTTCTTCCCCTTCGGGGAGGGATTTATCACTGTTCCCTATGAATATACATCTTCTCCCCCAGGGCACCGGCAGCCGACCAGGAACAATGAGGACCCCATGAGGGCCCCCCCCACCATCCCTGCCAAATAACAATACAAAGTATACTTTGTGGCAAGGTCTGGAGTCATGTTCGTGAAGCCCGTGGACAGGGACGGCGGGGGTTTCAGCACATTGCCTGCTGCGTGCAGGGCTACCATCCCTGATATATATAAAAAAACAAAAAATGCAACATGCAGCTCGCGGCTAAAACTGGATCATGCGCGGCCACCCCGCGATCACTGTCAAGTGGTGGCGTATGGCCTGCTGCGCGCAGGCCCACCAGACACAATGACGGGCATTGGTTTTCGATAAGAATAGCGGGTGCCGACATGCTTCCCGACGTGTGCTGTCACGTGCGCAGGCGCACCTGACACACTCTGCACGTGCCCAGAACGTGGCGCACATGGCGCGGCTGGAGTATGCGGCACACCTGGCGCACGCGGAGGCGCGTGACGCATCTGGCGCACCAGGCGTGCCTGGCACGCTCGGGCCCAACGGGTGCCTGGCGCGCGTGGCGCCCCTGACACGCGTGGCGCACCTCTCCCCAGCGCCGTGCACTTCTCAGTAGCTGCCCATCCAAAGACGACTGCTAAACATGCTGAGGCTCGGGTCTTACTTATGTTTTGGGAGGGCGGGTGGGAGTGGGCTAGGCGGCTTGCTATCTAGGAGGGTGTCTTGATCACTGTTCCTTACTAATATACACCGCCTCCGCCACACGGCCGGCGTCCGACCCAGAACCATGCCGACTCCATGAGGGCCCGCCCCCCACCATGCCTGTCAAAAAACAATACAAACCGCATTCAGCCTCCACATTTAGAGCATGCGCGGCCAACCCAATGCGGACCCCCCCCCCACCATCCGTCAGAAAACGATGCGAAGTACACTTTTGGGCAAAGTCTTGAGTCATGTTCGTGAGGCCCGCAAGCACTCCGTTTTGTTTCCCATATCCAAAATGGGGCTCTCGTTTGCTCTGAACACCCTCCGCGCAGGAACCTCACCTCCATCCCATCATCCGCCTCACTCACGCAGTCACCCCGTCATCGGTCATCACCACCATCGGTCATCATCATCATCACCACCACCATCATCAGACTCAGTCACTCACAACCGATCACCATCACCATCGGCCATCAATCATCATCATGGTCAGCATCATCACCACCACCACCACCACCACCATCATACTCATTCGCACATCACACACAGTCTCTTTTATCACTCAGCATCATTTTCTCTGGACGCCCCTCGCAGGATCTCTGAGGCTTGAACGTGGAGAAATCTCAAGCGGGAACCTCCTCTGTGAGTGAACTGTGAGGAAGTCTCAGGCGGGAGCCCCCTCCCTATGGGGGCCGCACTCCATGTTGGTAATCAGAGCGGGTCATCCTCATCCCTGTAACTGTCTTCACGCTGGGGCTCCTGAGGCCTGCATATGGGGGAAGTATCAGGCGGGAGCCTCGTCTGTGAGTGAACGGTAAGGAAGTCTCAGGCGGGAGCCCTCTCCTTATGGGGCCCGCACTTCATTTTCTTAATCCGAGCGGGTCATCCTCATCCGTGTAACTGTCGTCACTTTGGGGTTCCCGAGGCCTGAATATGGGGGAAGTATCAGGCGGGAGCCTCGTCTGTGAGTGAACGGTAAGGAAGTCTCAGGCGGGAGCCCTCCCCCTATGGGGCCCGCACTTCATTTTCTTAATCCGAGCGGGTCATCCTCGTCCGTGTAACTGTCGTCACTTTGGGGTTCCCGAGGCCTGCATATGGGGGAAGTATCAGGCGGGAGCCTCGTCTGTGAGTGAACGGTAAGGAAGTCTCAGGCGGGAGCCCTCCCCCTATGGGGCCCGCACTTCATTTTCTTAATCCGAGCGGGTCATCCTCGTCCGTGTAACTGTCGTCACTTTGGGGTTCCCGAGGCCTGCATATGGGGGAAGTATCAGGCGGGAGCCTCGTCTGTGAGTGAACGGTAAGGAAGTCTCAGGCGGGAGCCCTCCCCCTATGGGGCCCGCACTTCATTTTCTTAATCCGAGCGGGTCATCCTCATCCGTGTAACTGTCGTCACTTTGGGGAGACCAAGCGCAGCCAAAATGGCGCGTGAGGCGTTCCCAGCAGTTCAGATGCGAACAGTAAGGAACGTGCCCGAGGACATCGATCCAGGGAGTCTGATGGGTAACACAGACTGACTGGGGACATAGGTCCAGGCTGGTGGGGTCACGCGAAGCGTCACGAATGTGCAACAGCTTCACGCTTCACGGATGGAGCGCGGGTCGGTCTCGAAATGGGGCTCTCGCCTGAGCGCCGCGCACAGTCGTCTTCAAGTTTGCAAGAGCTTCACGGATGGAGGGCGGTACCTTTCAAAATATGGCTCTCGCCTTAGTACTGCGCGCATTCGTCTGAAGAGATTACAGCAGTCTCAAGAGTTCGGATGGTTGACGTCCCAGAACTGGTGGTTTGGCCGATGTGGAACTGACAGGGCGCCGCATGCACAATGATTCGCTGTGCTGAAGTCACAGGAGCGGTTTTCCGGCAAAGTTCAGGGCCGTCAGGATGCGACCGTAAGGTTGATTCGCGGCGCTGGAGTCCCAGGAACGGTGCTCTGGCACGGTTCAGGATTTCCAGACGGTTGTCCTCCAAAGGGGCCCCTCCCTCAGCGAAGATAAGCACTTGTAGGTACATATGAATAGGGACCTTGGGAGGATTGAATGCAACATCTTTGATGAATATTGGGTTTGCACTGGTCCTCCTCCTCATCCTCCTCTTCAACCGCCTCCCCCTCCTCCTTAATATCCTCCACCTCCTCCTCCTCTTCCTCTTCCTCCTCTTCCTCCTCCTCTTCCTCCTCCTCCTGTCCTCTTGTTCCTCCTCCTGCTCTTCCTCTTCCTCCTCTTCCTCCTCCTCCTCATCCTCCTCCTCCTCCACTCCTTCTCCTTCTGAATAACTTCTCCGTGTCGCACCCCGAGGCAAATCGGAAGGGCGGGCTGGGCGTTTCACCTGACAGTGCCTTAACACTGATGAGCCTGAAGCTTAAAAACTGGCAACAGTTTCACGGATCGAGGGCATGTTGCTTCCAACATGTGGTTCCCGCCTAAAGGCTGCGCACATTCGTTTTGACAAATGCACAGAGTGTCACGGGTTGAGGGCGGGCCGATTTCAAATTGTGGCCCTCGCCTTAGCGCCGAGCACACTCGTTTCACAAAGTTGCAAAAGCTTCGCCGAATGAGGGCGGGCGGTTTTCAACATGTGGCTCTCGCATTGGCGCCGCGCACATTCGTTTGAAGAATGCAAACGTTTCTCGGATTGAGGGCGGGTGGTTTCCAACATGTGACTATCGCTTTAGCGCCGCGCGCGGTCGCTTCTATTTACAAAAATGAAAGAGCTTCACGGATTGAGGGCGGTTCCTTTTCAAAATGTGGCTCTCGCCTCAGCGCCGCCCACATTCGTTTCAAACATTTGCAAGAGTTTCATTGGCTCTCATGGCTAAGGTACCAGAAACGGTGTTCGGGAACGAATCCGAATTATCAGGGCGCAAAAATAATGGTGATTCACGGTGTTTGAGTCCCAGAAATGGCGTTCTGGCGCGATTCAGGACCGTCAAGGCGCAACAGTCAGGTTGGCTCGTGGCGCTGAAATCCTGAAAATGGGGTTATGGCGCGTTTCCGGATTTTCCCGCAGCTGTCCCCCAATGGAGCACTTCCCTCAGAGGAAATGAACCCTTGTAGGGGCCCATGACGAGGGAGCTTGAAGGGAGGGTGTATTCCAACATCATGTATGCGTCTTGGGTTTACACTTCTCCTCCTCCTCCTCCTCCTCCTCCTTCTCGTCTCGCTTCCTATCCAAAGTGTTCCCCTAAGAGCTTGTACAACGAATTCCGAATGGTGAACACATATAGTCCGATATCTTGGCCAAACGTTGGCCCAACGTTAGGCCACAGAGGTGACTCAAAAACAGTGGGCGGCGTCGGCGATGGCTCGCCGATAGCGTCTTCGATCTACCATTACTACTAAAAAACAACATCTGCCGCTACTTCTGCTGCTACTGTTACTGCCTGTGTCACTACTGATGTGACTACATACCGCCAACCCTGCTACTGGTGCTGCTACGACTGCCACTACCCCCTGATCCTCATACTCATTTCATATTCCTCGTCCTCCTCCTCGTCCTCCTCCTGCTCCTCCTCCCTCTCCTCCTCCTCCTCCTGCTCCTCCTCCTCCTCATCCTCCTCCTTCTCATCCCCTCCTCCACCTCCGCCGTTCCCTCGTCCTGCTCCCCCTCCTCTCGAGGAGGGAGACGAGAGAAGGAGGGAAGGGAAGGAAGGGGGAAGGAGGGGGGAGGGAGGACGGTGGCGGGCCAGTGGCGGGAGAAAAGGAGGGAAGAGGAGGAAGAGGCATCGAGGAGGCCGCTCGGATCAGAAGACTATGAAATGTGGAGCACGCCGAAGTCGCAAACTCCGTGGCAGGGAGGGGGGGGGAAAGGGGCAGGCGGCCGCCCCTCTCCGCGGGGACAGGCGCTACCGCCGACCCGTCCGCTGCACCCCACTCCCTGGACCGGCGCTGGCACTGGAGCCCGCAATCGGCAGGACAACGAAAGAGGGCACCGGGATCATCAGGAGAAGAAACAACGGGACCTGCCGGGGTCGAGGGCGCATGATCACCTCCAGCTCCTGCTCTCCAGGCCGTCGGCGCGCGAACGCGTGATGCAAGGCTCTGCGAAGGCGAGCAGGTCACCAGGCGCCAAGCCCCACAGAGCGGATAAGACACCCGCACGAGCCTGTCACCGCTCTACCACCCCGTGCATCGCTCGCCTCCGATGCCGCCTGCCCCGGAGACGCCGAACAGGCACGCGATCAGGCCGCCACTCCGCGCGGAATGCCGCCCTTGACGAGCGCACAGCTCGGAGGCGATGGAGCCGCCCCCGCCCTCCTGCGCCATGCGATCGGAGGCAGCCTCTTCAGCGCCGGCTCTGCTGCCTCGCGCACGCTGGCGGCGCCGCCGAGGCGCGGACCCCACGCCATCGGCCGGCCCAGCCGCCATCAGAGAGGGGCTGCAGACGCCTCCGCTCAGGGCGGGGCAGGGTCGCCCCTCGCCGTCGGGACGACCGCCGCGGCGGTGCCGCCGCCGCTGCCACGCCCGCGCCGCCGCCGCCTCGAGGAGGGCGCAGCCTCCGGGCGCTCGCGGGACGGGCGCCGCAGGGCGGCTGCGAGGCGCAGCCCCCGCAGCCCGCAGGAGGCCCCACGGCCGCCCTCGGGCAGGTCGTGCCTCCGAGGAGGCCTGCGCCCGAGGCCGCGAGGGGCGCGGGGAGCGCGCCGCGCGCAGCCTCGGCGGCGCCCCGACGCCCGGCCTCCTGCCGCGAGCGTCCCCGGCATCTCCGAGCGGCGCGCGCGGCCAGCCCGGGTGGCGGCGCGTCCAGCGGCACGAGGATGAGCCAAGATGGGAAGGGGGGAAACAGGGGGAGGAAGATGGGGAGGAGGGGTGGAGGAGGGAGAACGGAGGGAGGGAGGAAGGAGAGAGGCGTGGTAAGGGAAGCAGGCAGGGAAGAACATTGGTAGGGGCAAGCAGGTGGGCGGGCAGGCAGCAGAGGGGAAGGCCCATGACAGTCAGGAACAGTGTGCAGTCTGCTCGAAAGGCCTCCCCCCTCCTAATTGGCCTCCTCCTTCTTCTCCTGTGCCTGTGGCTCCTCTTTCTCATACTCCTGATCGTGATCGTCATCTCCGCAACATAACTATCCCATTCCCCCCTCACTTCCTCCTCCTCCTCCTCCTCCTCCTCCTCCACCTCCACCTCCGCCTCCTCCTCCTCCTCGTCCTCCTCCTCCGCCTCCTCCTTCTTTCCGCTTCTACCTTCTCCTGCGCCACATGCTCCACAAGCTCCAACTCTTCATCCACCTCCTTGTCCATCTCCTTTTCCAACTCATGAGCATCCTTTTCGCCATCCACCTCCACGTTCACTTAAGCCTCCTCGGCCACGTCCACTTCCTCCTCCACGTCCGCTTGTTCCTCCTCCCGCGCCCTCTTCTCTGGGCCACGAGAGCCGACAGAAGGAGGCACCGAGTGGCCGACCGTCCACGTGGCCGATGCCCGCCAGGACCATGCCGGCTACGGTGTCCTCGTCGCCGATGAGGCCGATCTTCATGTCGGAGGCGCCAAAGAACTTCTTCTTGCTCATGGCGACTGCACACAAAATCTCGGCGGGGTGCTGAAGAGGTGCTCCCCGGGACCCCAAAGGTGCCCACGGCTTTCCGCTTCAGACTTGGAGTCCATGGGGCCCATTGAGCCTTGGGACGTGTGTTCTGGAGGCCGTGGAAGGGCCTGATTGGAAATCCTGGGGGCACCTCCAGCAGCCCCCCAAAAATCGGTGCCCTGGAAATCGGCACCGACACCCCAAGGTCGGCGGTCGTGACCCCCGCGCCCAGTGGCGGTGGTGGTTCCAAGGCTCCTCATTAGGAGGCAATTTCTGGGAGGTCTTCGCGCGGACGGCTAAGGACTATTAAGACAGAGTGGGGGGCCAGAAAGCTGGATCAGCACATAACGAAGCCCGATTGAGCATGATTCAATCAGATTCAAACAAGACTCAGTTGGTTCACACGTCACCTAGGCCAGATAATGAAAGTTTTGACAGCGGAATTGCCGACGCCGACGTTGAATCGAACACCGCTGGAGTTTAATCCTAAGTCCCAAGGTGGCCACGAAACGTCCACGAGCACAATATTCGGTGATCGTCGTTCCTTTGGTGGGAGCGGCCCGGATGTAGGAGCAACGCTCCCACACACTGCTGAATGCACAGAACCAATCATCAAATGATAGCCAGCGCTAGCCCCAAACAGTGCGATTCAAACCATCTATGTTGTGCGATCCACGTGCAGCAAAGCATGTGGTGCAGTCTATGTTGTGACATCTACCCTGCTGAATTTGAGGTTGTCATACCATTGCTCGCGCAATCACCTTACGCACCCACCCGCAATGCGGTTTGCAAAACCCATGATGCGGCGGCAATTGAGATGACTGTTTGACGTTGGCTGGCACATCGACGCGGCCGCGCTAGCTCGCTAGTGTGGCGCGACCGACGCGGCCGCGGTGACGCTGACCGCTGGGGACGTCCCAACGCGTCGCGCAGGTCGCGCTGACGCGCGGGCAATTCAGTGTGGGTCGGTGGTTCGGACGGGTAGGGTATCGCGGCGACGTCGATAACGGCAGACACGATGATGATAGTAGCGATGCTGGTAACAATGACGACAATGTCGACGGCGCGGCTAATGACGGCGCCGATGCTGATCACGCCGATGACGATGATGGCAAGGATGGTGTCCACGTGTCGGTGACGAAGGCTCTGGACCGATTTCGACATGCGCGCGCGGCCGACGCGCGCGTGGCCCGCATGGTACGATTTGATCAGGACCGTGCCCACCCACCCACCCAGCACGAGCGCAAAGGCGTTCGAATAATTCCGACATGCGCGCGCGGAAGGCCCCGTTTGGACGCTTCTTGATCAAAGTGTTGATCAGCTGTGTAAGAATTCGCAAGGGAACGCGCGCAGATTTGTTTGCCCCCAAAAAACAAGTGGCATAACCAGTAGTGGTATAGATCCTGCCGGGACGCTCGCTTTTGAAATACTCGCGGGACCAACAGGGATCTCCACTTGCGCGCGCGACGACGCGCGCGCGTAGAATTCGTCAGTTATGTTACAACGGATGATTGAAAATTGATGGTTGCTGGTAAACGAGAGCGCGCGCATATAATGATTTGACAAGGATGAGCGGGCAGGGTCGCTACAAGCATGGCTGGGACGATACGAACTCATATTTGGAATCAACGGTGAGGCAACATCGTGCGTAAATTGGACATCCCCAGGGCGAGAGGGTAAGACCGAAGGGGGGGTGTATGTAGTATATATATATATGTATAAATACATATATATATATATATATATATACATACATACCATAGCATAACATATTCCATGCTAAGCTAAGAGAACATACGTAATGTACGACCATTGGTGAATTATCCAATCCGCTGCTCGCAATCACCCCGTCCACCCGCAACTTACCGCGCGGCAGCGATTGCGACGACTGTTTGGCGGCACTGGCTGACGCATGGCTGCGGCCGCGCTGGCGTGCGCCAGGCTCGCGCGCAAACGAGCAGCTAGCCTGGCGAGACCGACGCGGCCGAGGTGACGCTGCAACCTGGGAATTTCCTGACGCATCTCGCAGGCCGCGCTGACGCGCGGGCACTTCAGTGAGTCGGTGGTCCGAGTAGGCAGGGTACCATGGCGACGTCGGTAACGGCATCAAAGATGATGACGACGACGATGACGACGGCAAGACCAAAGAAGGCACCGAAGCTGATCACGCCGATGATGTTGATAATAACGATGGTGATGTGATGATGCTTTTGGCGGTGGTGCGCACGTGTCGGTGATGATGGCGTCGGAACGATTTCGACGCGCGTGCGCAGCCGACGAGCGCGAATCGCCCGCATTGTATTATATGACAAGGATCGTACCCCTCCCCCCACCCCCACCCACCAGCAAGCGCGCAAGGGCGTTCGAATGACTTCGACATGCGCGCACGAGAGGCCCGCTGGGTCGCACATGAGGAAAATGTCGATTGAGAAACGATGGCTGCCGACAAACACACACACACACACACACACACAAAACAAAAAAAAACACACACAAAAAACGCAGGAGCGCGCGCAAACGACTTTGAGGAGCCATGTAGCAAAACTAGTGTTTGATATTCGTTCTCGGGAAACTCGATCCTGAAATCCTTACGAGACCTATGGTGTTTGAAGCATGTCGGCATGCGCGCGCGACGACGCGCGCGTGTTGACGTTGCCTCCGAATGTTCCCAGGCACTCTTGAGCAATACATAGGTTCCTCTTCCTATCGTTTTACCGGCCGGGGGGACGGGATCCCCCCCCAGACCAGACTCCCCGTGATCTGGGGCTATGGGGCCCCATGGACGCCCTGGGAAAAGGTCCCCCCAGCCCTGCCGCGCCTCCCAGGGCGCTTTGCCAGACCTTGCCCAGCAGACCCAAAGCGATCATAGAACATGTCGAAGAGGCGCAGGAGAGCCCCAAGACAGCGCAAGACGGCCTCAAGACGGCCCAAGAGGCACCCAAGACGGCCCAAGAGGCCCCCAAGCCGCTTCAAGAAGCCTTCAGGAGGGCCCTCAGAAGCAAAAACCGCCCCATCTCCTCAGAGGAATATGCATGTTCAGCATCTGCGTTTTCTGTGTCGTAACAGCGGTCGCGCAATGGGTCTCCGAGATCGCCCCCACACGGCCCAAGAGGCCCCCAAGAAGATTCCAAAACAGCCCACGAAGGCCCCAAGACTGCCCCGAGACGGCCCACAAGAAATTCACGAGGCTCCCAAAGGCTCGCAGGGAGACAAACAGGGACCGTGGGAGGTCCCCAGGAGGACCCAAAATGACCCCAAGAAGGCCCGTAGAGGGTCCAAGCTCCTCAAGAGTATCCCAGCACGGCCCAAGAGGGACCCAAGACGGCCCAAACGAGCTTCAAAAGGAACCCCGCCACGGCCCAGGCAGACGCACAAGAGGCCTCCCGAGGTCCCCAAAGCCCTTGGGAGGCATTCGTGAGGCCCGCAAGAAGTTCTCCAACGAGGAGCCTCCACAAAAGACGTGCCCGCCCACGCTGCATCGTGGGCGCTCGTGAGCCCCACGCCATAAAGTCCACACCGATTTTCTCCTTTCGCATAGCTTCCACAACGCTGTTCCCAACATCCTGTTCATACCACCAGTCCTGCACCATATAGCTTCCATCCTGCTAATACCATTACATCGCCCACATTCTACAGTTTTCACAACAGACTTACAACCACAAAACTAAGACTGAACAGCTTTCACCGCATAGCTCACATCACACGGTTGCCACAACATCGCTCATATCACATAGATTAGGCCGCAACACTTCCACCGCCAGAGTTCAACATCTCGCTCTTCAGGGTCCACGATGGCTCATAGATTGTTGGCTTTATGCCGCTGGGAGCCGCTGGACGCCACCAGGCCTCTTGGAACTGCTGCAATCATGGGAGGTTCTGGTGCAGCCTGGAAGGCCTGAAAGAAAATCCTGGAGCGGGGGCAAAGAACCCCCAAGAAACAACTTTTCCACCATAACGGTAACTTTGCGTCGTGTCGACGCGGCGGCGACACTGGCGCGGGCGTTCGAGATGAACGCGGCCAGTGGTCAGGAATCGGCCGGTGTTGAACGGGAATGCGCGATCGTTCACGGCTGAGCGATCCAAGCGGTGCCAAAAATCGACGCGCAGACTGTTACGACACCTGCTGGCGAAGGATCCAGCGAATAGGGCACGGGACTTTTGTTCAACGTTTGCTCGGATCCTCCAGGTGGCGTTCTCGTCGCCACGTTACTGGGTCCGCCTCGACATTCGGATCACAACGCACCCCATGAAAAATTATGGTGGCGCACGAACATGTAAATCGAGGGCGAGAGCAAACATGGAACGGGTGGTACGGGGACTTGAAAGGAAACGGCCAAATGTCAAAGGCCGAAGGGGACGGCGCCGAGCGCAAAGATATGCGAAGCTTGAAGGACCAAGGTGCGTGGCGCGAAGCGCCAACGCAGTCTTGCCTATACATATACATATACGTACGACTGGATGAATAAATAAATGAATGAATAAATGAATGAACGAACGAACGAACGAATGAATGAATATATGTGTTATTTGACAGGGATGAGGGGGGCGATCAGGGGTCCAGCTGGGATGGTACGAATTAATATCTAAAATGAACGGTGGGGCAGAATCATAGGTAAACTGCACTACCCAGAGCGGGATAATTCCCAAGGGGCCGGGTAGATCCTAATATCTCTTAAGAAAGGAAAACCAATGCGAGGCGGCGACGAGGCGGCGACGGCGATAACGGGACGACGGCGGCGAGCACGGAGCCGCCAGACCGCCAGCCAGGCCCAGACGACGGGCGGCGACGAGGCGGCGACGGGGCGACGACGGCGAGCATGGAGCCGCCAGATCGCCAGCCAGGCCCAAACGACGGGCGGCGACAGAGCTGCGGAGGCGAGCACGGAGCCGGACCGACATTCAGGGCCGGCTGGGCAAATTGACACAAGAAGCCCTCAGTGCAGTCACTGTTTGGGGAACGTGGCCCACAAGAGCTCCACAAGGGC